CAAATGTTTAGAATTTGTAGGACTACTGTACGTATATTCTAGTAGAAGGGAGGTAATTCAAATAATAAGCATATTTGTTTAGATGAGTTATTTCGCTTTTCAACCTTGTCACCTATCGCTCTCTAAGTAAATGATAACTTTTAAAATTAGTTTTTTTTAGCTAACTTCTCACAAAATATGTATTGATGTGAACAATACTTCTACCTAATTTACAAACAATATTGACGTATTTAAAAGTTCAAAACAACGTTTTGAAATAAAAAGAAGCATAAAATAATTTTGACAAAATGGCGGAATAAAATGTATTGTCTTTGGGAAATAGCAGTTGTGCTTTATATTTGGGTTTCCTTAACTTTACACCTTTTTTTATATTACTTTTACTTCTTAAAAATCGACAACACAATCTTAATTTAAATATGAAAGGTTATAAACTATGATAGAGTGTTTGTGGCGTTAACTTTACGCAGTAATTAATCGAAGGAATGTATCGCATAGTGCGACAGCGGCATCCTAAAACATGTAACGACACACTGAATTAGCATCCTTTTCTTTAGAATTCAAAAGTAAAATATTATATCATGAATTGGAACATGTTTTTCTCATTACATTTACACTTTTATTTCCTTTTATTGTATATGTAAAGGATAAGAAACTGTGCTTGAAACTTACAATTATGTTTTCGTGTAACTTCCTTTTCGGAAATTGCTCGTTTTACATGTACTTACTATACATCTACAAAGAACATTTTACACTACAGATCTTTCATTAAGATTTTATATGGACTTTTGAAAAAAGTGTAAATATTATGTTTGATTTTGTGTGTTAAGAGAAGGAAAAAGGCTTATTAATTTTTGTACCAAATAATAACGTCTCGTGTGATTTACTAAAAGTGAATGTGTAATGTTCACACAATCTCGTAAACCATAAAACGTAGGAGTATACACTTCGTACTGATATTTGAAGAAAATTACTGTGCATATGACATGTATGAAAGGCTATGTCTGGTTTCATATAATAAAACATGTGCCACTTAAATATATCAAAATAATGAACTTACTAAGGCTCAGCAGTCGCCATTTCCCGTTTGAATTACTATACAAAGTCACGTGATCTCCCCTTGTATATACCCCCTACACTTCGTTTGTGAAGGTATAATGAATAAATAACACCGAATCGAAATGAAACGTAAACAAATTTTGTGAAGGAATTATTACTTCATCTGAATGGGAAACTGTTTTCAGAGATATGAAAAATGGGAACAAGTAAGGGCTCAGATGATTTATAACAAAATATTTTAGAATATTATTTGTACTAAACCTCTGCTCTGGTATGTACAAGTTTCTTGCGAAAGTGTAGGCTAATAGTACTGGTAAAACTGCTTGACAGCTTTCCCAGGAACGGTGCGGTGGCTGAACTATGTTCTGGTAAATTCAACGTGGCTAACCGCCTTGATCCAGAGTGAAAACTACCAATACCACCAAAAAGCATTAACATTATTGATGTAGAAGTAAATCAAAGTGCTGCAGCACTGAATGCGACGGACATGCAATCGGAGAGACATTAAGGCTTTTTTTAGAAAAAAAAAACACACACAAAAGATATAACAGAGAAAATTTGTTCCATACAAGTTCGAGATTTGTAGAACAATATATTTTATGTGTCCCAATCTGATATAATTCAGATTTTCTACTTTCAAGCAGAACAAGTCCAAATTTTTAAAAACAGAATGAAATTTATGCCTCAAAAACTCTGGTCAAACTTGTAAATCAGTGTCCTTATAGATTTATTCCAAGAAATGATATGTAAATAGAAAAAAACTGTCAACGAAATATTTCTAAAATAAATAAAACCATGCAAATAAACTTCAATCATAATACATAATACATGTGAGAATGTTAATTAGTATATCATAGTGGGCATATAGACAATAAAATATAAGTCATTAGTATTTTTATTTCTCTTGGATATGTCTCATTAAAAATATGTTTGGTTAAAATCATCAGCAATTAATTGTGTATTTTTTTAGATTTTTTTTTCATTTACGTCACTTAAGCACTACAGTGTTTAGTTTCACACTAAATTCCATTTTCAACTTGTTTGCTTCTTACAATTGTATAGAATTTCTTAAAGTATTGCATGTAAACAAAGTAAGTATCCGCTGGTTTATTACATGTATAATGTGTACTCGTCCGAAAGTCAGCACAGATGATGCAGACTCTATTTTTAGAATAGTGTTATCTTCTGGTCGAAGGCTTTTATAATCTCATAGCAGGTTAACTCCTATCGTGACCTAGAAAACTATGTAAACAAAACACAAGAATCGGAAGTAGAACTGATATTATAACTTCCTTCAATAAAGATTACCATGAAAGACTACATGGTGGTAAAGTGTTGAAAAATTTCCTTGTTACATGCATTTTCAAAAATAGATATTTATAATACTAACCATTGTACTGTAGTCTAATTTATTAATAACTGCTGGATATTCAGCTAAACCCGCGGTATGAGTCACGAAAAGAGTTCTTCTTTTATTAATGCGCGAGTTATTCTAAAGTCAAGAAAATTTTTTGATCTGTTAATAAAAATGTTTTGTTTAATGGGGAAATATTTATTTCCTGCTGATAATTTCTATGAATTATTGAGCGTACTCCTTAATTATAGCATAATTTGCTGTCCTACTTTTTCGACAGCGGTAAATCGTTTCAGCAGTTATTTGCATAATTGCGCAATAATACTACGGGGCTACAGCGTTTTTATCAATCAAATACGTTTATATGTTAACTTGGATAACTTAATTTGAAATTGAAAAGGCTAAATATGGAAGTTTTTAAGATATCCCGACGAAGTATGGGATTTTCATAGGATCAAATTCATGTACTATTTCGTGGGCTGTTATTCGGTTGAGGACACATTGCGCGATTGTAGCCGACGAAATCCCATGTGTAGATGACATAGCTCTGAACGCGCCTGAGGGCGCGTCCGTCGCAAAAATAGCATGTTTTCAGACGAAACAACTTGATAATCAAATGGTACATTAAATAGCTTTGAAGAAACCAGACATTTTTTTTCTTTGATCTTTTATTTCTGGTCTGGTACTTATTTAATAGTAGATATACAGTTCTCAGAATAGATTCACTTAAAAATAGACATGATTTAGTTAAAAGTAGAAAAAATATCAACCTTTAATGTATAAAAACATTAGGCATAATATTCCATTCAAAATGTAACTTAATGATTGCAAGGAAATCGTTTTCAATTTAACACAGACATAAAAAGGTGGAGAGGAAGACATCTGACAACAATTGGTAATATTTCCGTCTTCATGTCCTCAATTATTTCTAAAATTACCTTAATAATAATTATTTTTCCCCCGAGTCCATCAGAAGAAACTATTGTCTCAATTAAATAAAACTGTTTTGAAATTTAAACATGGCACTCAAAAAGAGACAAAGTTAAAAAGTATATTATTGCGCAAGATAATAATATGCTTTGACATTTCAATTTCCATTAATTCTAGATCAATAGACTATTTGATAAAAATAACCATTGACTGTTGAAATAATAATAAAGAGGTGGGTGGAATCGATTTTTGAAAAATATAATTCAAACATAAATGACATACAGAAAAAAATATCATCAAAAACACTTTCTTAAAAGGATTACTAATAGCATGAAGTAAAATAAATCTAATAAAAATCAACAAAATCTATAAGACCATTTCATTTGGCAAAATTCTTGTATAAAGATAATGGACATTTATTTGTTTCCAAAAATGGAAATGTACAAAAAGTAATAAAATAAAATTAATTTTTAACATTTAAACTAAACAATTTTTGACAAGCTGAAAACTACTTTTAACATTCCTGATACAGAGATATTTAGTTCATACAAACTAAGTTCATCCATACCCATAGAATTGAAACATAAACTACAACAAACCAATCAAATTTTAACACCTACAGAAATAAGCACTTTTGATATGATAAAAACTCGTCTTTTAAAGTCATTTAAATCTGAACACATGTTCAAAAGTAAATGCGCGTGTGTAAAAATCAAGAGACATAATTGCAAATTTAGAAACAACTGACAAAGCCCCAACCAGCTTCAAAAAAGAAATGAATGACAAAACATCTACGACAACGTTATTGTGCATGCAAAGATAATATTTTGATTTATATTTTTACATATTTAAATTGCAAAAAATAGGAATAAATGATACATGTGATAATCATTTTTTTTCACTCTCTAAGTAAAATGAATTTTTTAATATTTTCTTATTTCAAAATATTTCATTATATACCGACACATATAAGAAACGAACACCAGACAACACAAGACAGATTAAATATGAAAAAATTTGTTGCATTACAGAATGATAAAATAGAAGTCTATGAAAATTGCAGGATAAATCTTATAGAATTATTCAATATATAAATAATAACTAATGGCGAAAAACTACCTAAGCAGTTTATATATTTTCTTCCTCTTCTGTATTTATAAAATTAAGCTTCGTTACTTCGTCATTTTTCACTTTCTACTGGTCATTAATATCGTTTGCTGTAAGCCAATAATCGTTTTGTATCTCTATTTATAATATTAACCCTCTAGCATATCATCAGTTATCTGCCCATCAAGCCTTTCACATATATGTTCAATTTGACCTATTACTCTATCAACACACAGGTATTTCTTTAACTATCAAGTGCTGGAAGACAGTTAGTATACACTGAAAGACTTTTCGAACGCAACACTTGTGCTTTTTAGTGTATTTTGGATTATAAAAGAATGGTTATTAGTGAAATTAAGAGTATAGATTAATGGACACTTCACACATGTATTGTAAAATATTTATTGTAGTCGATGAATGGTAAGGTATAAAATTTACAGAAATAAAACGTGAGTAACAGAGAATAAATCGCAAAATTCACAACACAACGATGTGAAATGATTGTTTTATCACAGCTGTTATCAAAGAATGAGTAAAACATAATATCAATCAGTTAATATCCAATATGTCCTCCCTGAGCTTGTATCACTTTCATACACCTCTGTCTCGTTGACATTACATAATTCCTCAGAAATCGCTGTGGAATGTTCCTCCATTCCTGCACCAGGTCCTGTTCCAGCTCTGGTAGGTTCTGGGGTTGTACCGCTCGCCTGCGCAGTCGCCTATTCAACTCATCCCACAGGTGTTCAATAACATTCAAATCTGGAGACTTGGACGGCCATGGTAGCTGCTGAATGTTTTGCTGTTGTAGTAGGTTCCGGGTGGCATGTGCTGTGTGTGCCGGTGCTCCGTCGTGTATAAGGATCATACCCCGTCCACCAGCGTGAAGATGAGGAATAGTGACAGGAATAAGAACGTCCTGTTGATATTTTACAGCAGTCAGATTTCCTCGAATGATGATCAAGTCGGTCTTGGTATGTAGGGACACACCAGCCCAAACCATTACGGAACCACCGCCATACCGGTCACGTTGAATGATGCAGGCGTCGTTCAACCGTTCCCCACGCCGTCGGTAAACTCGAACCCGACCATCACTATGGAACAAATTAAAGCGGCTTTCATCCGTGAAGAGGACATTTGCCCACTCTGCACGTGTCATGCGCTGATGCCGACGGGCCCACTGTTCCCTTTGTTGACGATGACGTGCAGTCATGACAAGGCCACGATATTGTCGTCTTGCGCGAATGTTCTGGTCGCGGAGACGCCTGATAACTGTCTTGCTACTAATGTGTCTGCCATGTGTACCAACTGTTGTTAATGCAGTCGATTCGGCGGTCTTAAATCGGTTTTGAAGATGACTTGCAATAATCTGGGCATCTTGTACAGGGGTTGTGACCCTGCCACGAGGCTGCCGCCGCTTGTCCTCAACTCGACCGATGCGTTGGTACTTAAACAGAAGTCTGGCTATGACAGACACATTTCTGCCAAAAACTCGCGCAACCTGAAAATAAACAAACAAGAGTGATGTTTTTTCCCTTCTAATTATAGGAAAGTAAATATTAAGTTTTGAGCAAATTATGTATCATATCAGAAATATCATAAATAAAGCAGTATTAACTTGGCATTGTTAGTATTTAAAAATATATCAAAAACTTACCTGTGTGGCTGAATGACCTGCCTGAAGCATACCGATTGCGCGTGCGCGCTCTTGTATTTGCATGCGAACCATTTAATGTTTTACCTGATATCTATGTTTTTCAATGTTGCTGACTCAATACTATAGTTATATTGAAATAAATTCTAAAATCGTTTTCCTCGTGCAAAAAGTTGATTTCATACCTATAGAACGCGCGGAACCGATAATCTGTCATGGATGAATGATTTCGTTGAAAATATTTGCGAAAGGTAGTCAAACCGGTTCTGTTAAAATATAAGTAAGATATCTTGAAGTGTTTTTGTGAAATACGAATTTAAAAAGTGTTGCGTTAGAAAAGTCTTTCAGTGTAGTATAAGTGTCTTCAGCTTGTTCCATTTTAATGTTCACCTAAAAAGTGTACGCTCAAAGTCAGATAACTTTTAGTCTGTGTCTGTGATTTGAACCATCTCAATGTTTACATATCCTTGTAGTTCACCAGTATTATTTGTATACGTGACGACTTCATCATGCTGCGAAAAGTACAAACGATACTAATATATTCAATTGAATAAAATAATATACAAAATACAGTTCTTATTCATTTCTGTTAAAAGTGTCAATACATTTTCAACTTTGTAAATGTTTTGATCGTCTCTAAAGTGAGATGTATAAAAAAAACTTACTGTTTGATGGGTTTTCATACGCAATGCCATGTATAGGAAAGTGAAATATTCTTTTACTATATTCATTCCAAAAACCAATAACATCATGCCGATTCCAAATGTTATTGCAGACCTCTTTACAGCATCTGTTCTTTCTGAGCATTCTTCATACCACCAAATAAAATCGTCTGGACATTTGTGAGAACATAAACCATCGTACCCAATGAGAGGTGCAGGACAATTACTCGTACACCATCCATCATGAAAAAATGAATTTTTATCTTTACAATAACGAATGCAAGTCCATGGTGTATATTCTTTGAGTTCATGTGGGTTATGAGGAGGACATTTATCAACGCATTCGTTGCCATTAAGAAATAACTTTGCTGGACATTGATCATAACATGTGAAATTATATATCTTTTTGTCAGACGGACACGATTTTAGACAAATATACCCTGCATTGACATTGTAGTTTATTTTTGGGGCAACTTCGGGAATATCTACGCTGCATGGATTGTTACTTTTTACATTGCATGAGTACGGACGTTGTTTTGAACACTCTGATCTACACATTTTATTGTCAGTAACCGTTCCATAAGGACACTTTTCAACACATGTCAATTTGTGGGTAAACATTATTTGTGGACATTTTGTCAGACAATACAGTCTGTTCTGTTCTGATACAACATATGGGCTCTTTTTCGGGCAACGATTTACACACCTGTTATTGAAAACGTAAGGGTAATCTATTGGACATCTGGACAAGCATGTGTTATTGCTAAATAACACAGTCATGCCAGGACACGTTTGCTCACAATAATGATTATATAAAAAAGAATGTGAAGCTGGGCACTGATCTACACAACTGGAATTAAAAATATATTTCTTCCGGTCACAAACATTGGTGCAGAAGCTGCCTTCAATTAGGTATTCACACTTCTTTACACATTTATGAACAGATAAGCCATTTACTGTTAAATTACTGATGAATGGCGTAACTTGTAGACAACCAGTTGAACAATTATTATCGTTAATGTAATTATGCGTCGACGGACATGCTTTAACGCACGTGCCGTTATAAATATATTCATTGTAATCACACGAGGTCACGCATAGTTTTTCAATGTAGATTTCTCTTCCAAGAAGCTTTGGTGTCTCTCTTAACATCATATTTGTAGGGCAGCGATCCACGCATGTTTTATTAAAAACAAGATGATTTCCACACTCAGCAACACATTCTGTTCCATTTACATACGTTGATTTTGGACATTCGAACACACACCCACTTGTTGTACAGTATGGTTTATGTCTTGGACAAATATCGGGGGATGTACAGAGAAATTGACACTCAACCTGCAAATAAAAGCTTGAACACTTTAACTTATATAAGAAATGATATATTTTGCCTCAAAATAAAGAATTTATTATTCGATTACCATTTTAAAAATACATACGCCATTTCAACAAACATATAAATATAAATTATGTTAGCTTACCACTCCCACAAGAAAGAAGAACATGGTCGCGACATATTTTATGAAACTGTTGATGACTTTGTTAGGATACATTTCAACATTTATCCAGAAAGTTCTCCAAATGCATACATGAAACATAAAATCATATGACATCTTTTTTAATAATTCAATATTTACCCGTCCTTAAATTGAATAGCAAAATGCATGTTATTCAATATATTTTAAACACAAAATCAAGACAAGCAATAACTTCGATTGAAAAGATTTCTGTTGAATTTTATATAATAGGGCAAATACGTTTACAAACCATTATTGATTTTACCGTGCGATGTATTTGATTTGATATCGACCGACTATAGCGCTTAAGGATTTTTGTATTTATCAAATACAAAAAAAAACTATTTTCAACAAATGATTACATACATGTTTGTCGCCTTTATCATACACTAAAGTTTGTTTGTCGGACGAAACTTGACAAAAATGTGTGAACCAACTGATGTTACATTACAAATGGAAATGAGTACGGATAAATTGCGTTCTGATAAATATAGTATTCCAGACTTACCTAATACGAAAGACTATCATCTTTTCATATGTTATACCGAATGTGATTCAAGAATTGTTCGAGACATCGTGACATATTTCGAAGCTGGGGGATTAAAATGCTGCTATAATGAACGTGATTTTCCATCAGGTAGAAAAGTTATACACAGCATTAACGACGCTATAAAAAAGAGCATGGGTATCATCATTGTTCTTTCGGAAGAATCCATTAACAGTAACTTCTGTCAACATGAAATTGACCTAGCGGTTCATACAAGTATAATAGAGGGTTATACAATCATACCTATCAAGATTCAGCCTTGTACTATTCCTGAAACTTTGCAGGAGATAACATACATAGACGCTCAAAACAAAGAGACTAGCGAATTGTATATATTGATATTAAATGCATTTTTACAAAACGGTAAGAGCTTGTGTTTAGCTTTCAAAGTATTTAAATATAATTACTGTTAATTCATTGTAGAACAGAATTTGATATGACAAGACATGTACAGTTTCAAGTAAAAGAATCATATTTGCAGTTTTTTGACATCATATTGAATTTCCTTTACTTTTATTCATAAGAAATATCCTTATACAAATGTCGGAAGCAAGTCACGCAAGTTGGTTTCATAATCAGTAATCGCACTGGTGTGAATTCAGGAAGTGGAACGAGAATCTCGCCACTAATGGAACATAATACACTTCCGATGTTCTACCCTTACACCACTCTTTCCCACTTCATGTATGCTTCTAAGATTTCCAACGTCCCTGCAATGAAAATACATATATCACAAGAATACGAGGGGTGGGCAATATATTAAAATATAGTTGTTTATCAGGCAAAAATGGTTATATACAGAGTGTATAAGACAATTCAAAAATAAGGAAATTTTGAAATTTTACAGTAACATTCAAATTAACTTTTTTCTTTTTTTTTTAACAGTATGGCACGTGGAGCAGGAACGTGAGTACATAATACATTACACGTTTTAACATTTTATGTTTCTGAAAATAACATTTACTATAACATAAATATTTCAGTTTATTTCAACTTTTAAACAAGAGCCACTTCCGGGCTGGGTAACGCTCGACGGTTTTACTTTTTCTAAAGACAAACAACAACAACAACAAAAGGAAAAAAGGTTAAAACAAATCTTTCAAAGGAAAATCAAAGATAAAAATAAAAGTGTTTCCTTTTATATTTTAATAGGTCTGTCTAGTCGCATTTCAAGAAGTTCTTGTTCAAAATGTTGTTTTGGCCAAGTATAAAGATCAAATATTGATTAATTACCAAGTTACAGCCAGCAATTATCAGTGAAAATTCAATTATTTGACCTTCAAGGACAATGTTATACATGAGCCAAGGTTAATGTGAGTTTGATATACACGAAGGTCCTGACCTATAAATGTTGTGTCTAAATATATAAATTAATTCAATAATGAATAGCAAAGTTATAGCCAGTTACAGAAAAAAAATCAAGCGGATATCATTATTTTGACCTTGACGGTGAAGGTCAATTAAAGGTTAAAATATCATCTAAATTAATCAATAAATTTGTAGCAAGTCTAGTTTTGTCTAAGTATAAATAAAAGGTTATTTAAAAGCTCAAGGTCAAGCCAGTTCAACCTTTAAGAAGTTTTTGTCCATTCATTAATTACATGTACTAAGTTAAAGTGAATTATAGCAAAAATCAGTGAAAATTCAAAAATTCAACGTCAAGGTCATAAAGTCATAAAATTTAATAAGCAAAGATCGATTTAAGTTTGATAAACATGAAGGTTTTATCCTAAAATCCATTAATAGCAAACATCATCAACAATTAAGCAAATTTTAGATATTTGAACTTGAAGGTCAAGGTTTTTTTATGAATGAAGGTCAAGTTTGGTCTAGTTTACTGTAAAGTTTTGTCCCAAGGGTTGTTGTGGGTAAGTATGAAGTCGATACACCAAGAACTTAGAAAGATTTTGTTTTTAATTGAAAAAATTATTTATATTTAAGGGACAAATGGCTTAACTCGTAGTATACCTTTGACACCATATGAAAAAGGATTCTTGAAAAGCTTGTCGGTATGGAGGGTCAGATTGTTGGTGAGCCAAAATGAAAGACAGTCCATAAAAATGAAGGGATTTAATGTAAGTAGCTTGAAGGTGTCCCATTTAAAGTTTCTGATTCTACTTTAAGTTAGTGCTTTTTGTTACAGAACAAAGTAAAGAGATTTGACCTGTATACAGATGCCGACAAACAGATTTGATAACATATTTCTGTACATAATGATTCCCCGTCGATTAAACTAAAATAAAGAAATAAGTATTGAAAAGACGTTGTTTATCTTCACTCAGTCGGTCGAGAACTGGTAAATCTGCTTTATTAAAACTTAATAGAAATGCATATGAAAAGCCAATAAAAGATGCCCAAGTAGTTCCAAATTGCAGTCAAAAGGATTTGAGTACGAGGTCTTTGTAAATTTATAATGGGGCATTTTAGAGAAACGTAACATATTTTAATACTGATTATATATTACATTTTAGAGATCATGGATGTGATTTATTTTCATTTAAAATCCATTTGTGTGTTAAATTAAGGCCCTTTCTGACTAAAGATGGACATATGTCTGGATGGCCAGAAATTGAAATGCTTTATTAGTTTAAATCGAAAATGGCACGAAAGTATACATGGATGAGGTCATGGTGAATTTTAAATCGAATAATATTTACTAGTAAGCAATCTAAATTGCAGACACCCGTCGATTTGACTGTTACCTATTACAGTGTTTACTATTTGTTTTTTTTTTTTTCATTAGCAGTTTGTGGCATTTCAATTTGGAAAAAAATTGTTATTACAAAGAGTATTGTAATCGTTACTTGTTCACGGACTGCACCAACTATTTAAAACGATCTTCTTTTAATTCTTTAATTTTCTTTATACAAGCGCTTCCACACTTATGTTTTGCTTTATCATCATTTAACATACAAGGAAATATAAACAAAACAAACTGTTTCCCGAGTAAAGGTAATGTATACAGGTCAATTTATTGATTATTAGGAATTATGTCCGTAAGTAAAGGTTAAAACATTAGAAATCCATTCTCACAGAAAATGAATCATGCCAATCGCAACTATGCTCTTTTCCGTCACGCTTCACAAGCATCTTAAAGCTTTATATTGCACGAGTTTGGCATTTCAACATTCGGTCTAAGGCTAAACACAATTTATAAATATTGTTATGAACAAAATTCGAAGTAGAGGAGCCGGAAGTTTAATTATAAATAGAAAGACACAATAATAATAATAATGTCGACTCTTGTGATGGATTGACTGTTGAAGCCAATACATCAGTTGTGTGAATGAAATGACCCAGAACTCTTTTACAACGAAGAACTTATGATCGGTCACTAACGCTCCTCGCTTGTTTCGTTCTCTCAATAGTAAAAAGTTAAAAACGCGTTGCTTCCTTTGGCTTTGAAACGGGATATAAATGACTTGAATAGACACGATGCAATTAACAAATGTAGATTCGTCTGGAAGAGGAGTACTGTAGAAATAATCATAACAAGCAAAAATGTCATCTATATCATATTTTATTTTATGCTTTTCAGTGAATTACTGATTTATCCTAGAAAAATTATATTTGATAATTTCACAGTGAAAATTATAAAAATGTAATTTCACACTTTTCAGTGACGAAACTACTTTTTTTAAAGATTTTCCCATGTGGTAACTCAATTTTATTTTTGCTGACAATTCTGACAATGTCAGGGCTGTTTCGAGAAAAGCATTGCTAAAATTGATAAATAACTTAAATGTCAAAAGTAATACAAGGAAAAACATTCAAATTACCAATCACCAAATATCGTCTCTATTTTTTTGTTTCATTTTTACAGTCTAAAAAATTCATTCCTTCCACACTCAAAACTGCTCTTGATGACATTTCGGCATATTTAAGTATCCTGCGAGCAATAACTGCCGTATGCTTTATGAAAGCTTGAAAAGCAATGACAGACATCAGCCCGAAGAATAAGTAAACAACCCAGCGTTCGTAAGGCAGCCTTTTAAAAATTCCAGGTTTTCCAATTTCCTTATTCCAAGACGCTTTTTGAATGTTTACACATCTGTCAACACTTATTTACTGTCTGTTACAATCCTCAAATAAGTTTTTTCCTAAACTTTATTCCAAAAAGGTGTATGACTTAAAAATTCAATTGATATCCCTCTGAATCAAACACAATTATTTTCCACCCGTGAAATACACAAGTTTTAAAAATGTATGTATTTTGCATGTACATAATAGAGGCTACCAGTGGGTAAAACTGTCACTAAAACAGCTTTTAATATCAAAGTTAATATCAAGGAAATTTCGTTTTAACTTGTTTTTAAGCATAAATAAAAAGAAAATGTGTTTGTTTGTTGTGTAAGATGTAATTTTATTTCATCTCGTGAACTTTATAAACGGTATTCTCACTCGTGGCTACGCCACTGGTGAGAATACTGTTTTTAAAGCCCACTCGATAAAATAAAATTTCATCTTACACACAAACAAACAAATATCCTCTATATATTGTATCATATTATATAATATTATTTCGTATCATATTTTAGGTACAATGATGAGAGCATTTGCTTTTTTTCTCATTTTCTTGCTAAACTTCGCTTTGTTTGCTCAAAAATCACTACTTAACTATGTCTGTCTTTTGTTACTAGTTACTTTGTTTACCTCTAAACTAAAAGTGAAATTTTCAAATAACAAGATTGCATAGCCCATGAATTGACTTGGCGCGGCTCATATAATCTGAATGCTTTGGAAGGGAGACGTAACTATATTTTTATTCGCTGTTTATTAAGTTCTTTTATTTAAAAAGCACAAAAACGAAAAACATATGGCCTGTCTGTTGACAATATTTCGGGTTTGATTTTTAAATTAATGCAAATGGGAAATCTAAATTTGATTCTAAATTGGCGGACATATTTTGACATTATCGGAATACGCTTTATTTACCGTGTCCAATATAAACATTTTGCTACTCAATTTGCAAAGGTACACCCGCCACAACTTTCAACCCGTATTGATTACAATGGGTTATCGGTAAGTATCTCCGATAAAGCAACTTGCAATAAAGTCGTTAATCTGCATATGAAAAATTAACTCTTCACGAGAACAAAGAAACAGTATTACGTACTTCTAAAGCAATGAGAAAAATTATTAAAAAGATTTCGTTTTATTTAGTCTGTTTTAAGTGACAGTACACCTATGCGGAAATGGTAAGTGTTCTTGTAAAAAGTCAAAATAATTTTACATTTTACAAATATTGTTTTCAAGTTAATAATCAATTTTGCATGAAAAATCAAGTGACCCACATACACATCTATAAATATCTTCCAAGAATTAGATAAATTGTCAGATGGAAAGAGTTGGGCAGTCTTTTTATATTTAAGGCAGTTTTGATATTTGTCTTAATCGTTTGTCATGATGAAATACTGGTTAGTCACCATTATAATAGTTCATATTTTGAAATATATATAACGATGATTTGTGATTTTTTTTTTGAAATTTTGCAGGTATCAGATGCCAGATTTGATGAAATTCAAATTCTAGTTAGCAGCTCGTTCCATGTTAAATACAAACATATTATTGAAAGTCTTCCCCTATATACTGCATTCGTATTCTTCATGATTAGTCTTTTAGATGTTGGTTTCATATTTGCCTACGTAGCTCTCTTTTTTGGAAATGAAATGGATAACAGCAGATCGCAGAATACTTCGGCAGCCTTATATTTCAGTATAGCTATAATAGTTATTTTCTGCATATTTATCGGAAGATCGTTGGGCAAGAACAAGAAATCGAAAGGAAATGTGTACACTTTGATAGAAAAGGTAAATACGAACAGTATATGTTATGCGTCAATATTTGGAAATGTATCATCAATTGTTTCCTTCTAAAATACCGCCCTTGTTTTAAGCTCACAAGAACCGGAGGTTCAGGCTGAGATATATGCATCAAAGGGGGTTGCTCTTGTGTCTGTCGTTATGCGTCAAATTTCATCTTCTTCTCTGAAACCGCTGGCCAAATTTACTTCAAATTTGATCTGTAGCAACCTTATGAAGTCTAACTTTAATTTGCACATATCGTTTGAATTGGCCTCTTGTATGGGTCAACAGAGCTATATATAAAATATATAAAAACCTTAAAACAACTTATTCTACTGAACTATTTGCGGGATGATCACCAAACTTTGTCTGTAGCATTCTTAGGTAGTTGTTTATTAAATGTGCTCACATTAATTTGATTGGCCCCATTTAGGGGATATTAAAGTTTATTATAGAAACAATTTTCAAACACCTTTTTCTACTGAATCAATTGATGGATGAATGATCACCAAACATTTTTTGTATAACTCTTTAATGGCTTTTTAATGTTTTTATCAAGTTTGCTCAAATCAATTTGATTGTACATGTTCCATTTTAGGGGCCACTAGAGCTGAAAATAGAAAAAAGATCTGTAAACATCTTCTACTGAGCTGATACTTTATTCGTAGCTTTCTTAGATCTTTCTTTTTCAAATTTGCTCAAATTAATGTAATTGGTCCCTTTTAGGGGCATCGAGAGCTAGACATAGGAAAACCTTCAAATAGTTTTTCTTAATAAATAGTTGAAATACTGATTTCGTCTTTCTATTTCTTACTATGTTTTGCTTTCTAAGTCACATCCTTTAAGTACTTGTTAACAAGAACCACAACTGCCACTTCATGTATTATTTTCAATATAAGCAGAAATATTATTAAAGAGGCTACCGTGGGAACCATGTTTTAAACCATTTCCCCTCACCACTGTATGTTCAAATACGCCTGGTCTTGAATTGAATTGCTTACCTCATACGGTACGAATATACATATTACAAATAAATTTTTAATGATTGTACTTTAAAAAGAAAAGTGTTAAAAATAAGCAATTGTCAACTTGTCCGGCAAAGTTGAAAATTGGCTTGGCAAATAAGTCACGATATTTACTGTTCCTCCAAGCAAGTTCATTTTTCACGAAAGAAGTTCATTCCTTTTTTTCCTCTGTTCTGCAGGTTTTGTTTTTTGAGTTGTTTAATAGCCAAACTGTTATCTTGATTAAAATTGACTAAACGAAAAAGGAGCTTAAAAGGCTCCAGTATGAAAGGAAATAAGAAAGCGTGAGTTGACATGCTTTAAATGTCAGATGTACAGTAACAATTACATTGGGCCCTTTGTGAAAGGTTCCATTTGTTATTCTAAAGGTAAAAAGACAACAAAAAACACTATATACTAGTAACTAGAGGGGTTAGTTGAAATTAAGCTGAACTTGGCTTTCGGCACTTTCATTTAAAAAATTATTTCTAACACTGAAAAACAGCTGTTTCTGTTGAGCGATTCAAGCTATTCAGGGCTATCATGGCCCTCTTGTTTTATGATATAATTCAATATGAAACGTAGATTTAACTATCAATGTTAAATCAGTTTTGGTTCCTTTGAACATGTTATATATTTACCATCAAACCGTTTAATAAATTCAATTTGTTATCTATTTGCACATCCCGGATTTTATTGAAGAGCACACGAGCCTTATATTAATAAATACCATTGTTTTTACAGTCGATAAAGAAGTTGAACATGGAGCTTTGGTTGAGAATTAACAAAGAAACCATAAGAGCAGACAAATACTTTGTATGTTTTCGAGACGGTGTATCCTTATATTGTTTTTATTAATAATTATATTCGAGATTATATTGCAGTTTAATGATTTCACTTACAGTTTTATTACATTCTCAATTATGGATAAATTAAATATTTAATGATCATTCTAACTCGTTCCCGAACTTAATCGCATTTATCGACAGACACTTAGTCCATTCATTAACTAAGAACGTTTGCTGTGATGCTCAAAGTGGTTGCAATGATTGATATGGAACCCTTTCTCTGATCGGCAGAGAATGATTGCCTTAATTGACATCGACATTCTGCATTGATTAATAAAGGGCCGTAGCTTTGGTTGATAAACATTCTAATATGTTCTGTTAGATTGAAAGCGTCAGTGTGCTTTGTATGATAGCGGTTTATTCCTTGAATACAAGTAATAGAAACATTTGATAAACAGAGAATGACTAAACTGATTAATAAAGAATCTGTTATGATGTTAATCTTTTAATTTTTAGAAATATAGCTACATTTCCACCTTAACACATTTCTTACAGTATTTGGACATTGTACGCTTTGATCCAAAGCCATGTCAGGTGTAGTATACTGTTATAACTCATTTGTACATTTATAAAGATCTTCAACTGCTGATATTTGAATTGTCAGTTAAAATACATTTGAAAGAAATACTTTTTACGTAAGTTTTATTTCAACTCTTAAAGACGAACATTCGTATATAATTGAATTTCAATCAATTTTTTTTCAAGGGTGTGTTTGAACGAAGATGTCGGAATCTCAAATCCCTTACTAAGCTCGTGACTCCCGGAGAGGGAGAAACAGACATTGTATGTTGATTTCTTTTTTTCACTTGTATCATCTTACAATTAAGATTAATTCGTTGATATGGCAAGAAAGCAAGTATATTTAAATCCTCGAATATGTTATGTAACATCGCGTTTTCACTATCGTACTATCGCGTCATCGCGATTTCACCATCGTACCATCGCTTTTTCACCATCGTATCATCGTGTTTTCACCATCGTACCATCGCATTTGCACCGTCGTACCATTGTGCATCGCGGGTACATACTTAATTAAAAATCACCATTGTCCAAACGGATCACCGTAAATAATGGTTGATATTAAGAAAAGATCCGATTTGGCTTTTTTTATTTCTTAAATATGTGTTAAAATCTTTTATTACAAGTCCGTGAAAAACATCTAAAACTTGTATGGATGATGTCATTATATTTTTGTTTGTCTCATTCGTTTTCTTATTTTCCAGGAATATACAGAGCGGCTATTTGAATCGTACTTAAAACAGAACTATACCAGGTTGACAGTCCCAAGTAATGTTTACGGCGCTCACGAAATGAAAAATGGGGCATCGTGTCTTTGTACGTTATTGGAGAATGATATTTTGAAAGAGGATCAGTATCAATTGACCTAAGTATATTCAAACGAAACTATTTGAGTTTCAATATTCCATGTAGATCTATATGTGAAATATGAAACTTATTACAAATATTATACATCAAGATATACAAAGTTAAACATGTGTCAAACAATCAAGTTATATATGTATCTTGCAATCAAGTTAGACATGTGCTATACAATCAAGTTATGCATGTGTAATACAATCAAGTAATACATATATTATACAATAAAATTACACATGTGATATACATTAAGTTATACATGTATTATACAATCAAGATATTCATGTGCATGAGTTGTTATACAATAAGTTGTTAAGCAATCAAGTCATTCATGTGTTATACAATCAAGTTTTACATGTTTTATACAATGAAGTTATTCATGTACATGTGTTATACAATAAGTTATACGTGTGTTATGCAATCAAGTTATTCATTTGTTATACAATCAAGTTATACATGTGTTTTACAATCAAGTTATAAATGTGTTATACAATCAAGTTATAAATGTGCATGTTTTGTACAATAAGTTACAATTGTGTTCTACAATCATGTGCATGTGTTATACAATAAGTTATACATGTGTTATGCAATCAAGTTATTAATGTGTTATACAATCAAGCACGGATTTATATTCCGTGAATCAAGTTATAAATGTGCATGTGTTGTACAACAAGTTACACATGCGTTATAAAATCAAGTTATTCATGTGCATGTGTTATACAATAAGTTAAACATGTGTTATACAATCAAGTTATGCATGTGCATGTGACAAGCAAGTGTATGTGGTGACATGATGTGTCGACATATAAATAATTTTGTGCATAAAACATAGAAATGATCCCCTCACAGACACTGTAAAACCATACTATTTTCGTCCGAAAAATGCAAATGTTATTATTTGATTTCAATTTTACAGGACAAATTATTTTTATCATTTCCTATTAGGAAAAGCAAATATCTACAATATCCATTGTCAATTTTGAATAATACAAAACTCGGTAATAAAATGAATTTCTCTATATTTTGTACTTTTTTCACAAATACTTTTTTCAAACAGTGTAATTCTGTAATAAACCTCTAATGACAAGAATTATACTTTTACACAATAGGAAGGCAAGGTTTAAGAGATGAAAACAAGGATCAACAAGACAGAGCAACGTTCATTCAGGAAACTCCGCAGGCCAAGTAAGACACTGAACAGCAACAAGAATGGGCAAGGACCGTGCAAGGAGATGGTGTTCGAAATACTGTTAAAAATTTAAGATAAAGATATTCAATAAAAGCAATAAAATGACAATTAATTAGAAAGGCTTATACATGTATTACAGTACAAGGAAGCAGGGGTACCGAATCGGAAGGTGTAAATAATCAGTGTTTAACTCTATCACAAGTAATGATTGCCCAAATGTCTTAAACATTCAACGCATAAAAAAGGAGAGCTAGCGAAACCTCTGGATTTGCAAAGTATACCAGGACGCTTTATTGTTAATTTTAAACAAGATCTTTTGTTATTTTTCAAGCTTCGTTTTAACATTGAAACTTCACTGGTTGATATATCGGACTGAGAAAGTGTGCAGTGCATAAGAATGATAACTTTTCACGTTATTTCCCATTATTAATTTTGTAAATTGTGTTAAGATCATATTTCATAATGTGCAGAGATATTAATTTGAATTTCATTGTAGGATAGATATCAGATATGGGGAATTCAATCCACAAGAATAACAACAAATTGTCCAGTTATAAAGAGGACCAGGATCAAAATTTATATACACATGGGAATTTTTATTTCAGTTTTATATTTTTGGATTTCTTAAGAAATGCAGTATTGAGTCAAACAACTTTTTCACAGATTTACTGTAACCTGCCTCTCAGTCATTATTAGTACTAACAGCATATTCAGTAGTTGTAATAATTTGATTTTTTTATCGATATTGATTCAGCTAGACTACTTCTTAAAAAATAACATTGTCCTATTTTCACTTCCCCCCCCCCCAAAAAAAAATTATATCTGCAATTAAATTCATTCATATATAACTGTTCATAGAAATATGCCATTTTACATATTCACTTTTTACACTTACTAATTGAGTTACCATTTAGTCAAAAAGCATTATTTCAGAGCAGGACCATATATATTTTTGTATTAACTTTTTCCAACTTTCTTTTGTATGTACACATGTACATTATTATACATGTACAATTGCTTAAAATATAATGGTGCTAATTTACATATCATATACAATATAAAAATATACTCTTTTTAACTATAGTAGCACATCTTATGAAACAAAGTTTTTGCAATAAGACTTTAAAGAAATTTTCGGTAGAGATTTTTCTGGGATTGATTTTGATGACCACTTAATAAGCCAATGGCAGTTTTTCTACCCAAATTTTAAAAAAAAAAACCAAAAAAACATTGTTATCTGGGAGGATAATAATAAAACCAAAACACAGCTTTGAATAATAAAGAATCGATTTAATAAATAATTTCATTCTAAGCTTTTTTATCTTTAAAAAAAGCAAAATATCCTAAGGCAGAAATCAAAGAGATTCCAGAAACAGCAAAGACCAGGGTTTTCTTTCCAAATCTGAACTGACCAGCGTTGTGACAAAGCTTCTTTGTAATGTCATCGTCCATTCGTCCTGTGGAATCTTTCTCGCGAATGACGTCAATTCCTGAAATATATGTGACATTGTTTACATATCAATATTGAATGTAATGTAAATTATGTTCAGTATCATAAAAAATGAATTCAATTAAAAGGATTAGTAACAAGTATTTTGCTTGAAGGGTACGTAGAGAACATCAATATCGTATAAAGCATGCGTTTTGTTTTCACTATATAGCAATTTGGATCCACCCTCTAGGGAGTTTATTTTAAAAGAATAACGAAATTAAGAAAAGAAAACTTTGGCTTTATGACCAAGACATTAAAATAGTACCTGAAATATCATTGTTCTCTGTTGTACGTAGAGCGTTGCTGCTGTCCTTTGTAGCACATGCAACTTCGTCCTTGTCCTGCGTAGCACATTGGAGCTTGTTCTTGTTGTTTTCATTTGCACTTGAAACATCATCGTTAATCTCTGCACCAGTAAGGGTTTTGCACTCCTCTGCAGCACGTATGGCGTTGTTATTTTCTGGTAATACCGGAGGGTTGCTGTCGTTGTCTGGGGAACTATGAACGGAATTTGCTATCTCAACATCAAGGTTATTATTGCTAATGTACTCTGTAGCACCTGGAGATGTGTTGGCTTTCTCTGTATCACAAGCAGTGTCAGTGTTGCTTTTTGTTGCATGTGGAGGGATATCCGGGTTGTCGTCAGCTCCTGTTGTGATTATATCTGAAATTTTAAAGTTTTTCATAGTTACCGATTTAAAATTCAACTAAGAACAATTACTTAGAAAATTCAAAATACCAACAAATGGGATAAAAAAATTTGTTTGTTTGTTTGTTTCATTTTACGACTTTTCTCAACAGTATTTCAGTCATATAGGCGGGCACTTTCCTTACCATCGTTCCTGGAGTGTTACACCAATACTAGACTACCTTCCTCCGTGCTAAACTACCAAAGCATCTCCCGGGCATCGAACCCACGCCAGAGAGGTAACTGGATTAGAAGTCATCGACTCTAACCCCTCGACCACGCAGGCGGTGGATAAATATTTAATTCCGACTTAATTTGTATAAATATCTTGAAAGAATTGTCACAACTTTAAAATGTACTTTATCATATCAACTATATACATTGTATTTAAAAGAAACAATTTTCAGTTTGAATACCCTTAATTACCCGCCCTCCAATGACTAAAATACCTCTGTAGATGTAATTATATGAATTTAAAAAAGGCAGCATACCGTCTGCTTTAACTGTGGCAGGTACCATTCTTTTACAATGTATTAGCCCAATGTTCCGTGGTGGCACGTATTTCGGAGGGTTTTTGATTCTACTTTATCTGCACGTGGAAAATTGACACTTGGCACGTGAAATATTTGCCCCACCCGGATAACATTCTAGAGACTTGAACACCCTGAGTTGTACTTTCACTTTATAATTTCTTGTTGATGTCATCTGTGAATAATTTACATACATAGTCAATATGTGCTGACTACCATAATATTATATTGTTGTCATTTACTATAAACTTTCCTTAATCATTGTGATAAATAGTTATAGGTATGAAAGGTGTATGGTAAATTTTACAAAGCAAATAAACTGAAATAATTTAAGCAATCCGGCTGACTGGACTAAATACTAGTAGTTAATGGACTGCATTGGGACTAACTGATATTACTAACTGATATCTACACACCCGTTAGAAATTTGGATATGTTCAGTTCAGAGTATTTCATTAAATTCAAACAAATATCAATATACGAAATGCACAAACTGAGTCAAATTTCTATATTATAGTATTTACACGTATTTTGGTTTTATACATGTATAATTTCATATGAATTAATATCTAACGCAATTGGTTAGCAATATCAGATATGTTTTATTGTTATTTTAGCCAAGAACTGCATAATTTACATTCTTGTTATTTAAAATATTGTTTTCATAATGTAACACATATATATTTATAAAATGTTACAATATCCTTAACTTCTAGCTTGAAAGTCTTCTAAAACATTTAAATATGTTGACTGAAAGAAAATCGTCTGTATAGCTCACGTTTTGTTATCTTGGAATTGACGTAAATCATATGGAAACAACGTAATGTTAATGACGCAACGACGTAAATGTTTATAACGTCACGATTATATACATCGGATCTTACTCGAGCCGCCATTTTACATAAGTCCTGCTGGAATTTTACACGAGTCAAGGGACATGATATAGGTAAGCTTGTGGCGAGATTTATGCCATTCTTAAAGCAGTACGCCTCCAGATTCATGCTAATTTTCATGAACATTTTAAAAATGTATTTGAATGTATAATATTGTGAAATAACCAAAAGGAAGCAATAAACACATAATGAATGGCACTTTCAACCCACGTAAATTACGGAAGCAGATAAGTTGTAATTTATAATTGCACTTGTCTGTGATTGGTAAGCATCAAACAAAGTTGTTTGTCAACCCGTCATTTCGTCAACTGAATTTAAAATGTTAACTTTTTGGATCATTACTCTATTTTGAATTAAATATGCTCTCATTCTAAACAAAACAACAAAAAAAATATTGTAGTATGAACTGAATAATCGCAATGAAGAGTTTATAGTTTGTGAAATTATTTCTATGAAAGTCTAGTGTTACTACCCATCAACTGTTAGGTTGACAAATCAGCATCGCATCCCTTTCACAAAATCAGTTTGACGAAATGACGACTTAACGTCACAAGGACGGTATAATTGCTCCATACGCTGTCTTATATGCTGGTGCAGTGCAAACTCCTCAGTGATTACCTCCCTTGGCAGAATTGTAATCACTGCCTTCAAAGACGTCACATGATGATGAAAGTCAATCTCCTACGCAGTGATCTCCCCTTACAGCAGGATTAGATCTCTGCCATCACAACATTTTCGTCAAGATTTTTGACGATATGAATTTTTTCAATTTTTATATTTATTTTAAAAAGTAAACACGGTTTTGCTAATGTTTCAAGACTATAATGTATTAGATGTAAACTAATATAAAAAATAATTTCGAAAACTTAAAGTAGCAAAGCGTGACGTAACCGCTCTGCCATCACAAACATTGAAATATCAATATTTTGATATTTATATTTTTTAGCTTTTTAATTTATTTTTCATTGTTTTGTATACTTTTGATTTTTTTTTATAAAATATAACGGACGTAGGTACAAAAAGTTAAAAATAAATCAGAAAGAGAAAAATGACGTTAGATTTTCTATGTAACGGTCGATATTTTCATTTGAATTTCGACGTTACGTCATGTGACTTTCATCATCATGTGACGTCTGTGAAGGCAGTGATTACAATTCTGCCAAGGGAGGTAATCACTGTGAGGAGTTTGGATGAAAGTCACTGCATGGAGATTGGGTGCATTGATCCAGCATTATATCCATATTCAATTAATTACAGCGGTCAAGAAGTGAAGATGGAGATAGAGGGTCTTAGCTTATGGGTAAAAGCATCGGACTAATCCGTCATGGGTTCGAATCGAACTAACTTTTGAGATTTTCTTTTGACTTCCACAACCTACACGAATTATGGTGGTTTCGTCGAACTACCGGTTCGGCAAACTTAATTTAGGAAGAGGTGCGAAAGTGGTTTCGTCGATCTAATGTTATTTAGTAATTAATTAATGCATAGTATACATGGTTCATATATATAATTTAGTGTTTTTATCATCAATATTTTGTTATAATTAAATTATGACGCAAATGTCATTAATGAATAAAATATCTAATACAACAATGTCTAAATATTATACATGTACTTATGTTGATGATGATTTGTTCGTTATTTGATTAATTATTTTTAGAAAAAAAAAATATTTAAATTTTTTTAAAGAAGTTTACGAAATATTATACAATGATAGATTCATGGGAATTCGGGTTGGGTACCTTCGACGTGTTAATGCAGTCAATGGTAGATGTGAAATTCAAATGCTGAACTGTTTCATGTAAGGAAGTCCTCGGTGGTTCTTCTCGTGTGTCCCGGAAGAGTCCGTCAATAATGTCGCTTTATGGTCCTTTACAGTATTTGATGCGACCATCGATATATTTAAAATGTTATGACGCGACGTCAGATATTGAAGCTAATTAGCGTAACGTCAAAATCCTTAATTTCAAACGTCATTGTAAACACTGTTCAAAACAACACGTTGTGCTTTATGCTCTAAACAAGATGGTAAGTGCTGAACAATTGTGGCTAAATTCCTTGAATACAAGGACAAGGAATTTGTGAGAAAACAATGGAAGACTTTGGAAGGCAGTGCTTACTACGTCAGTGAACAGTTTCCGAGAGAGGTGGTTGAAAAGAGAAAAAAGCTCGTTCCTAGGATGAAAGCTGCGAGGAAAGAAGACAAGAGAGCTTGGATCGCGTATGACACTTTGTATATAGATGGGAAAGCAGTTAAAGACTAGGGGGTTGCGGAGGGGGAAGTAAAGGTATTGTCATGGAACGTAAATGGACTTTCGAGGGCCAAAATGGAATGCAGTGAGTTTATAAGTATCATAGCTGAAAATGACATTATATTTTTATTTGAGTCATGGACGTGTTCTTATAGTAAAATTGAGTTGGCTGGTTATTCATGTCACAATTTTAACAGAAAATTTCAACATAGACAGGCAAGGAGAAGTAGTGGTGGTGTAGTGCTATACTATAAGGACTCGATTAAAGATGGCATTGAAATTTTGAAAAATAGGCATGATTCTATGATTTGGTTAAAACTTGACCATACGTTTTTTTAAAACGAATAATGACATATACATTTGTGGAATCTATTTATGGCCTGAAGGTTCGCCAGCATATAATGTTGTAAATATAGATTTTTTTTGAATTTTTGGAGACTGATATAAGTTATTATAGTGAGTTTGGCGATGTATATGTGTGCGGCGATTTAAATAGTAGAGTTGGTTTAAAGCCGGATTTAATTAGACATGATAATGTTAATGAATTATTTGATGATCAAGATTATATTCCAGATGTTTATAGTGACAGGGCCTCTTTTGATACAAAGTGTAATAGTTTTGGGTTAAGACTTCTCGATGTTTGCAAATCCTCCTGCGTGAGAATTGTTAACGGTAGAATTGGCAATGATCAAGGTTTATTTACATATGTGTCCCGTAACGGTGCGTCGGTGGTGGATTATCTATTATGTAAAGAATGTAACTTTTCTAATATCACGTGTTTTACCGTTAAATCTATGAATGAATGTAGTGACCATGCACCAATTACATTTTCACTCAGTTGTAATAATGTTATCGACTATGATGATGATATATATGTTTCTAAATATAAGTGGTCACAGGTACATAGGGATTCATTTAGAGCCAGTCTTATTGGCCAATTGCCACTATTAAATCAATTAGTACATGGTATTGAACCAACAGAAAATTGTATAAATGAAGTTGTATCAGGGTTTACGAATATTGTTAAAGATGCTGCTGACAAATATTTTTTGAAAACTTATAAAGAATAAAAAACGACATGTTTTATAGATTCGCCTTCTGTTAGTAACGCTGAGTGGTTTGATGGAGAATGTGTTAGCGCTAGAAACTGTAATCTAGAGGCTTTAAGGGTTTTTAACAATTGTAAATCAAATATTAGTAGAATTCATTATTGTGATTGTAAACAAAAGTATAAGAAGTTGATACAAAAAAAGAAAACTCAGTATAAGATTAGAAAATTAGAATAAATTGAAAAACTTATACTTTGTAAACCAAAAGCTTTTTGGAAATAATTTTAAAAAGAAGAACTTTAAGTCAGCAAATTCAATTACGCAAGATGATTTTTTTCAATTTTTTTTCAAAACTTGAAGATGACATTTTTTCATGTCAAAATGAAGAAGCTGAACAATTTAGTGTTACTCATGATTTTGACAGTTGCTCTGTTAATGTCGAATTTGACCACCCCATATGATCTGACGAAATTATGAAAGCTGTTAAAAAATAAAAAACAAATAAAGCATATGAAAATGATTGTCTTTTAAGTGAATAGTTTTTAGAAACTATTGATATTTTGATGCCGTTCATATGTGATACTTTTAACGTAATTTAGAATCATGAGTATTTCCAGAAAAATTGAAAGAAGGAATTATTATACAGTTTTACAAGAAAGGTGATAAAAATGACGTCAACAATTATAGAGGTGTCACACTGTTAAGTTGTTTATCAAAGCTATTTACATCAGTATTGAATCTTTTTGTGCAAGGAATCAGGGAATAACGGATGCATAATTTGGTTTTAGAAATGGTAGTTCAACTATAGATGCAATATTTTCTTTATACACTTTAATTGAGCACTATCTTAATCATAATAAAAGGTTGTACGTAGGTTTTATCGACTTAAAGAAATGTTTTGATTCTATATACAGAAACGCACTATGGCTTAAGCTTTTTAAATCCGGAGTCCAAGGTAAAGTTCTTAGAATAATTAAAGATATGTATGATGTTGTAAAGTCATGTGTTAAACACTGCAATTCTTTTTCTGAGTTTTTTGAATACTCTATTGGATTAAGACAAGGGGAGATAATGTCACCAGTTTTAGTATCATTATTCCTCGACGATATAGAATTATTTTTACAGGATAGTATAAACAGCGGTTTGTTAATAGATGACATAGTTATTATTTTATTGTTATTTGCTGATGATATGGCTATTTTTGGAAAAAACACCTGAAGAATTGCAGCACAATCTTGATTTTACTATATAGCTATTGTACTAAATGGAGCATTGAAGTTAATGTGTTAAAAACAAAAATTATGGTATTTAGAAAAAGAGGAAGATTAAAAAGAGATGAAAAATGGACATATAATGGCGCAGACATTGAAGTTGTAGACAGTTTTAATTATTTAGGAACGTTATTTTCCTACAATGGTAATTTTTGACCTTAATAATGAATATTTATCTGGCAAAGCATTAAAAGCTTTAAATGTGTTATTATATAATTGTAAAAAATTACCGCTAAGATTAAAAAGTACTCTGTCAATTGTTTGACTCTTTTGTAGGTTCGATATTATTGTATGGCAGTGAAGTATGTGGTTTTAGCAAGTCTAAGGAAATCGAACGGTTACATTTAAAGTTTTGTAAACGTATACTTAAAGTACCTATTAATTCGAGCAATAATGCTGTATATGGTGAGCTTGAGCGATATCCTTTGTATATTTTACGTTATTGTAAGATTATTAAATTTTGGTGTAAAATTGTTAATTTCTGAAAATATTATTATTAACAAATTGTATAATTTAGCGATGCAAGATAGTTTAGAAAGGTCATACAAATTGGATAAGTCGAGTAAAAAAGATTCTAGACGATTATGGATTTTCTAATATATTTGTAAATAGTTATGATAGTTTATCTTTAAAACATTTCCAAGTTGTATTTAAAACTAGAATGATTGATTGTTTTAAACAAGAATGGTTTGGTGCAGTTAGCAGAAATGGTATCCTTGATGAATACACACATTTTAAAAGATCCTTTACATATGAAAACTATTTAGACATAGTACCCTTTAATTTAAGATTTTTCATTACCAGGTTACGTATTTCTGCTCACTCTCTTCGCATTCATACCGGAAGATTCGGGGAAAACAGAATACCTAGACATGAACGAATTTGTTTAAACTGTAACTTGCATGACATAGAAGATATTTACCACTTTGTATGTATATGTCCTTGTTATCGAAATCTTAGAGCAAAGTATGTCAATGATAATATATATAAAAGACCATCTGTATTCAAATTTTATGAATTGTTAAACAGCAATGACAAAAAAGAACTATGTAATTTAGCAATGTACCTAAAAGAAGCTTTTAAACATAGAAATAATATAAATATGGTAGTACAATAATGTCACATGCAAATTGTATTTTATGGAGACCGTTTCACCATGTTTATTAACTATGATAAGTTGTATTGTAATATACTTTCACTCTCCTGTTATTTGTAGATCAGTTTATATGAAAACAAAAATTAAAATTGTATTGATTTGTAACGCTTTAATCATGTGCAGAATATTTAGTTGTTAAATATATATGTGTTGAAGATGATGTACTATGTACAAGTCTGAATAAAGATATGTTCTGTTCTGTTCTGTTCTAAGTATATGTATTTATATAACATCATATTAAATACATGCCACAACAACAACAATTTTAGCTTCGTATAAAACATTAAGAGTGGATTTATATGCATTTACATTGTTTATATTGTAGCATCCCGTTCCTCCAAAACTTTCAAAATTGAAAGATGGTCATTTTCATTCAATTTTAGTTTATTTTTATTCTTCCCCCCTTCAATTATGTACAAAACTGAAACTGCTGGAATTAATGCATAGTGTTTGCATAGCAAGGTATTGAGCAGGGGATTATTTCCAGACTTTATATAGTAATGCCCTCGTATTACAGGCGTTCCTTGTGGCCATGTTGTTCCCCATTCATCAGTGGTACGTTTTCCGAGCACAAAAGCAGATGTATCTGCTCTCACGAGGTAATAATCATAGTCTTCGTCATCGCACAGTGCAGCAAAGATCATTCTTGCATATCAGACTGGCGTTTCCGTTAGTTTTACCCATGCCGGAAATTTCATCTGGCATGGGGGTTCCAGATGAGTCGCGTGATGTACAATGGCACGATAAAGATGACGTCATTTTACCGTTATGAATGATTTTGTAATTCATACGCTGTTGAATGAAAGTAGTTACGGTTGTAATGATTATAAATTTTCATTGAAAAATAAAGATAAAAATTTAAAATATAATGGAATTATGGTAGAATATTGCAAAAAAAAATTATCTGACATATGTTTGCGGTTCGGATCGGAATATCTTAATTAGGCAACCTCGTTACCGCCCCCCAAAAAATTGGGGGCCCGCGGGGCGTTACCCACCTCTGGTACGGAAAAATTTTATTTCCCGGAATTCCCGAACGCGCCCAAATATGACAGATATTATTATTCCCTCCTGAATAAGTTCCACCGTAGACGGTTCTTCAGCTACAAGCGACGTATTACCATTTAAAGTGCCGTCTGCTTCAGGCTGAAGAAAAGTAGTCTGTCCAGTAATGTGCATGTTTTTACACCGGCTTATTTTTCCCATGATACAATTCGTACACTCGTAGCAGGATAGACATCTGATTTGTAATTTGCTGTGTTTAGTGTTTGCATGTGTTATGACTTGATGGGTTGACCTAATACCGGGAATGGGTTTATATAGACGTGCAGTAGATCTGTCGATGCTTTCACAGTATCTAAATATCCGCCGTTGACATTTATCGGATTTTGTCTCCGTCAAATTATTTTGGGCAAATTGAAACAAATCTTTGGCACTCTGGATAACAACTGCACCCCTCAAGATTGCTAAATCTGCTTGACGCTTCAACAGCCCTCCTGCTGCATCTTGAGGGCCTTTTGCGTGACTTGTTTCAAAAAAGTTTCTTATTAATGTCTTGTAGTTGAATGATCCTACGGAAAAGGCAATATCACCGTAGCAGTTCCTGCTTTTATACTGAACAGAACAGCCGTCACAGAATTCATGCATTACGTCAATATTGTAGCCTATTGATTGCAGATATAATGATATTTCCTCTTGAACTTTATGGGTAAAATGCTGGTCATGTTTCTCGTCAGCAGATATAACATAAAAATGTTCTAGTACTCTCGCGATACGGGCTTTCCGCGATTCATGCTTAATGGAAACATATTACATTTTGTAAATAAGTTTGTATGCATCTACCTGTAAAGATCATGCAGTGACTGACAGAATAAATAATTATAAAATAAGAAGATTCTCCACTTTTTCTTAATATTTTAAATGACTTTATTTGATATCTTATGAATACAAATGTAACTTAATTTGATATTTAAATAATTTTTGAAACCAAACGCACAATGACGTTACTTTATGTCAAAAATAGCGTTTGGGACATTTTCGCTAGACTTAGAAATATTATCACTTATAAGCAGGTAAATAATGATACCAAAATGAAATTTGGTCAGCAATACACAGCAGAAAAACGCTATAATTTAGAATTAAATTTGAAAATAAAATGTTTCATTGCTAAAACTTTTTATTCGATAATGTTAAGGTGAATGACGCGATAAAACGCATTATTTCCAATTTTGGCCATTTCCGCTAGACATAAATATTTGCCCATAATTTACAAAACTATATATATTTATTTTCTAACAAAACAGGAAAAGAAACAATTTTGAAAACGCATTTTTGAAAATCTAAAATGATCTCAAAATTAAGTTAAATATTTATTAAAGGTAAACATTCATTTAAAATTTCTTACCCGTCATTCTTTAAACACAATTCTTGTATCTCTAAACAAATTTCTCATTCACGAAATCTTCATTTTTCTCCGCACTTTTCAAACGTTAAAATTAATTCCAAATGACATCATCTGCGTAAATGATGACTCAACGTCAGTATGAATTTAAAACGTTTTGGCGGCCAGTTTCTGGCAAAAATGTAAGTATATAATCTTCTGTTACTCAGACATTTTCGTTACATCTATACATGCGATTTTGGTATCGTTTGATGTTGTATTTTGCTATGACAAAATTCTGCATCAATGAACGGCGAATCATAATGATAAAAATTTTGTCAGGTGAAAATTTTCCTTTATTTTGATATATAATTTTTGTTATTTTATAAAATAGTTCCTGGAAAAACAACACTTCAAGATATTGTACTACAGCAAAAAGTGCAGTTTGCCCCATGATCTGACGTCGCGTCTATATAATTAGATTTATATATATCAATATGAGGTTCTAATTTGGCTCTTTTTCAGTGTAAATGTGTATTTCAACTATATTTTATATTATATCCTGTTTAAGTAAATTTCTACTCAGGCAACAGAAGTCACAATTTGTCTCTCAAATAAATATGTCGAAAGTGTAACATTTTAAATGACCGTTCCTGTGTTTCAGGATTTGCAGTTATTATTGAATTCTAATCCATCCTGCATATTCCTTTAACTACATGGCTATCGCAAAGGTTAACATTTTTCCTTGATTTAATCAGAGATTTTTTTTACTAATTACATGCTTTTCGGTGATTTATAGAAATATATCAGTGATATAAAACTGATAATTTCAATGTTTTGAATTTAAGCCCCTTACGTTGTTTCAGTGAAATACCAGCGTGCACAATAGTGGGAACCAACTTAATGACATGACGTCGTAAATGACGTCACATTGTATTATTATTTGGCGTGCTTTTCATTCAGTATTAGGTTTAATGTCTTTTTAAAACATTTCTTTGCATTTAATAAAAAGAAAATTTGCTAGATCGAAATATAGTTTACCTTGTGAACACCAAAAAGTCATATTTCACTCGTGGCTGCGCCACTCGTGAAATATACCTTTGGGTGCTTACTCGGTGAAATATATTCTGATCTTACACTGAGATAAACAAATATCCTCTATTCATTGCATTTTAAAATAGTACTTACAATAAAGTATCATTAATATTTTACGGCTGTATACCGTTAAATGTTTGGGTCAGTCAGAATATAACTATTGATTGCATACAATGACGGCAGGAAGGAGAATAAAAGAAATAATAATATGAAGAGATTTATCTATTTTTCCTTATTTATTTTGCATATAATATAAATAAATAAACAATTTAATTTAAAACAAATATAGGTACGCAGCACACCTAACTATTCAATTACAAGTATAAAATTTAAATCTGTATTTGCCTATCTATATAACTTTATATAAACATTTGGCAATACAACAATAGCTTTACACCAAGCACCAAACAATGACTTAATAAAAACACCTGCATACTATCAACAAGAGCTGTCGGTAGGACAGCAACGCTCGACTATTGTTAGTGCTTGATAGTAAAAAAAAAATGATTCTGTCAAAATGCTTGATAAAGTTACCTCCTCCTGTCTACAGGTTGGGGTCATGATGGTGAACAAGTGTGCAAAGTTTCAAAGCCATATGTCAATGGACTTTGAAAATATTTCAACTATTACAAAAACTTTAACATAAGTGATTACGCCGACGCAGACGCCGACGCCGACACTGACACCGACGCCGACGCTCGGGTGACTACAATAGCTCTACTTATTCTTATCGAATAGTCGAGCTAATAATTGATTATGAAATTTAAAATAATATTTAAATGTGCATGTGCTAATAGAAAATGTATAATATATCTGGACATTTCACAGTAATACAAGAGTCTAGAAAAAGTGCTTTAATTTGCTAATAAAGCGAAATAGTAGTTTTCAAAATTAAAAAATATCAGACTTTTATTACATTTAAATATAGCTCTTTGAACATATATACCAGTTTTATGCTTACAAAATATTTAACATAAGCAACATAGCCCAACATAGATCAAAATTCAAAATCCTTAGAATTTCTTAACAGTTTCATATTTTGGGATTTCACAATTGTTTTTTTACAAAATTCAGTAAAAAAACAATTTCTTTCACAGAGTACCTTGAATTTGCCTTCCAATAATAATCAGTATCACAAGTCTTTATAAGCCGCGTCATGACAAAACCAACATAATGGGTTTGCGACCAGCATGGTTCCAGACCAGCCCTCGCATCCGCGCAGTCTGATCAGGATCCATGCTGTTCGCTATCAGTTTTTCTACTTGTAATAGGGTTGGTAAGCGGACAGCATGGATCCTGATCAGACTGCGTGGATGTGCAGGCTGGTCTGGATCCATGCTGGTCGCAAACCCATTATGTTGGTTTTGTCATGACGCGGCTCATATATGTGTATAATACATTGTACTGTGAATTTACTTTAATAAACTGCCGGTGATATTAGTATGTAGATTTTAAAACATAACATATCTTCTCTGTATGTATTAAAAAGATGTGTGACATTTAAAGAGAGACTGTATTAGTATTATGTATTATAAGGGTTTTTTTCAATTATTAATTCATATATAATTATCTTTAAATACAAAGTAACAATTTTCATCAATAATTAATATTGCTTCCAACTGCGTATAATATAAAAAGTCTGGTCCTTTTTAACAAATTAATGTGATGATCAATTTTTCCTTATTTTATTTACAATTTCATGTATCAAATTTCAAAGAAGGAGACTGCAATACAAAGCTTGAATGAATTAGTAACGATTCGCCACAATAATGATTCGCAACTTAACTATTTGCTTCAGTGAATTAATGATTCGCCACAGTTAAATAATGATTCGCCGCAATATGATTATAACAATCATTTACTAAGTGTGATTGGTCTAGGTTCAAATAGTTCGAGGTAAAAAGGAATCCTTTCAAGCATGCCTTCATGAAGGTATGTTAATATAATTTATACAAGAGGGCCATGATGGCCCTGAGGTCGCTCACCTGTATATAGGACCCCCCCCACCCCCGGGCCAATTTTTACCCAAGGCCTTTTATTTGTTTATTTGAACAGACTTGGTAAACACCCATAAGAAGATGTTTCATGCTAAACATCTAAGTTCTAGCTCATTGGCTTTTTTAAAAGAAGATTTTTAAAGTTTTTACTATACACATATAGTTAAAAACAATGACACCCCTGGGGCAGGGCCAGTTTTGACCCCCGGGCGTTTATTTTAACAAACTTTGTAGATATTTATTTAAAGATGTTTCATGCTTAATATCTAAACTCTAGCTATTTGGGTTTTTCCAAAGAAGATTTTTAAGTTTTTGCTATACACATATAAGGAAAATCAATGACCCCCCGGGCCAGTTTTGATCCCAGGGCTTTTATTTGAACATACTTGGTAGACACCCATTAGAACATGTTTCATGCTAAATATCTTAGCTCTAGCTCTTTGAGTTCTTTAAAAGAAGATTTTTTAAGTTTTTACTATATGCATATAGGGAAAATCAATGACCCCCTGGGGCGGGGCCAATTTTGACCCCAGGGCTTTTATTTGAACAAACTTGGTAGACACCCATTAGAAAATGTTTCATGCTAAATATCTTAGCTCTAGCTCTTTGAGTTCTTTAAAAGAAGATTTTTTAAGTTTTTACTATATGCATATAGGGAAAATCTATGACCCCCTGGGGCGGGGTCAATTTTGACCCCAGGGCTTTTATTTGAACAAACTTGGTAGACATTCTCTAGAAGATGTTTCATGCCAAATATCTAAGCTCTAGCTCTTTGGGTTCTTTAAAAGAAGATTTTTTTAAGTTTTTACTATATGCATATAGGGAAAATCAATGACCCCCTGGGGCGGGGCCAATTTTGACCCCAGGGCTTTAATTTGAACAAACTTGGTAGACACTTACTAGAAGATGTTTCATGCTTAATATCTTAGCTCTAGCTCTTTGGGTTCTTTAAAAGAAGATTTTTAAGTTTTTACTATATGCATATAGGGAAAATCAATGACCCCATGGGGCGGGGCCAATTTTGATCCCAGGGCTTTTATTTGAACAAACTTGGTAGACATTCTCTAGAAGATGTTTCATGCCAAATATCTAAGCTCTAGCTCTTTGGGTTCTTTAAAAGAAGATTTTTTAAGTTTTTACTATATGCATATAGGGAAAATCAATGACCCCCTGGGGCGGGGCCAATTTTGACCCCAGGGCTTTAATTTGAACAAACTTGGTAGACACTAACTAGAAGATGTTTTATGCTTAATATCTTAGCTCTAGCTCTTTGGGTTCTTTAAAAGAAGATTTTTAAGTTTTTACTATATGCATATAGGGAAAATCAATGACCCCCTGGGGCGGGGCCAATTTTGATCCCAGGGCTTTTATTTGAACAAACTTGGTAGACATTCTCTAGAAGATGTTTCATGCCAAATATCTAAGCTCTAGCTCTTTGGGTTCTTTAAAAGAAGATTTTTTAAGTTTTTACTATATGCATATAGGGAAAATCAATGACCCCCTGGGGCGGGGCCAATTTTGACCCCAGGGCTTTAATTTGAACAAACTTGGTAGACACTTACTAGAAGATGTTTCATGCTTAATATCTTAGCTCTAGCTCTTTGGGTTCTTTAAAAGAAGATTTTTAAGTTTTTACTATATGCATATAAGGAAAATCAATGACCCCCTGGGGCGGGGCCAATTTTGATCCCAGGGCTTTTATTTGAACAAACTTGGTAGACATTCACTAGAAGATGTTTCATGCCAAGTATCTAAGCTCTAGCTCTTACGGTTCTTTAAAAGAAGATTTTTTAAGTTTTTACTATATGCATATAGGGAAAATCTATGACCCCCAGGGGCGGGGCCAATTTTGACCACAGGGCTTTTATTTGAACAAACTTGGTAGACACCCATTACAACATGTTTCATGCTAAATATCTTAGCTCTAGCTCTTTGGGTTCTTTAAAAGAAGATTTTTAAGTTTTTACTATATGCATATAAGAAAAATCAATGACCCCCTGGGGCGGGGCCAATTTTGATCCCAGGGCTTTTATTTGAACAAACTTGGTAGACATTCACTAGAAGATGTTTCATGCCAAGTATCTAAGCGTTAGCTCTTACGGTTCTTTAAAAGAAGATTTTTTAAGTTTTTACTATATGCATATAGGGAAAATCTATGACCCCCAGGGGCGGGGCCAATTTTGACCCCAGGGCTTTTATTTGAACAAACTTGGTAGACACTCACTAGAAGATGTTTCATGCCAAATATCTAAGCTCTAGCTCTTATGGTTTTTTAAAAGAATATATTAAAAGTTTTTTCTTTTGGTTGCCACGGCAACCAGAGTTCTGCATGGAATTAAATTCTTTGAACAATTTTTAAAGGTGACCACCAAAGGAACATTCCTGTGAAGTTTGGATGAAATTGGCTCAGTGGTTTATGAGGAGATGTCATTTAAAGCAAAAATTTACGGACGGACGGACGACGGACGGACGCCGGACGAAAAGCGATCACAAAAGCTCACCCTGTCACTTTGTGACAGGTGAGCTAAAAAAACAATTTAAAATTCACTAATTGATCCCTAATAATATTTCTGTCAATGTTTATCATCAATGTTTATGTCTGTTCCTGTACTGGTCTTTTACAAATGTGACAACATGAGTTTCTTTCCAGTAGATCACAGCGAGAGTTGAACATAACGCTAGCCCTCCTATACATATATGTAGCAATCTGTAAACTGCACCTTTATCACAGCAAAAATAACTCTGTAACAGATAAATTATATTCATGATCATAATGATATTTGATTAATGTTTGTATGATTAACATTCTTGGTTATTCAAACTGTACAATATAGGGATATATTTGGAAGAGTACTCATATTTGACAAATCATATTGGACAAGCTGCCAAGTACATCTAATGATTTCTAAAGCCGTGTACGAGTCCAAATATATACCCGCATTGTACTTGTTTGATATTTTATTATCTGTTCATTCTATATCCAAATTATACATGTATCTAGGAAACATGACTAAAACTGTTAATGTTTGACGTTCTGATAGTTTTGTTGTTAACAACATTCATCACATACACATGCCGATACATATATTTTGACCTGACGTCATTTGCGTTATATAAACATAGTATAAAGACGCACTAAAAGTTAGCATTACGCTATAGGTGAGTCAATGAAAAATGATTCTTTTGCAAATTAAACAGGTTTTATTTTGGGTATGTAACAAAGAGAATATTAAATATGTGTTGGTTTAATACTAAATTTATTTACTTAGGGTAGAACAGTCAACCTTCTGTAGGTCAACTTAAGATTTTGTTTGCTCTTGCGACTAAATTTTAATCACAAGAGCGATCAGTAATCACATGTGTCGCCTCATGATGGCCAATTTCATGTTGGGACAAATTTTGTGACAGACAGACAGACAGACAGTGCACAACTAGACTTGGTACTGATCATTCCTGTAAAGTTTGGATAAAATTGCACCAGTAGTTTATGAGGAGTAGTCCGGACAAGCTTTTGCGTATCTGGCAACACACAGAAAAAAAGACCTTTTTATCAAAGGGCCATAACTCGGCCAAAAATCATTCAACCGGAAAACCCGTGCAATATGCGCAAGGACTTGAGCTACAGATCAATCCTGTAAAGTTTCATTGAAATTGCATTAGTGGTATAAGAGAAGTAGTCCGGACAAACTTTAAAAAAACAAATTATCAAAGGGCCATAACTCTGACAAAAATCATTGAACCGGAAAATTCTGACAATATGCACAACTAGACTTGGTACTGATCATTCCTGTAAAGTTTGGATGAAATTGCACCAGTAGTTTATGAGGAGTAGTCCGGACAAGCTTTTGTGTATCTGGCAACACACAGAAAAAAACACCTTTTTGTCAAAGGGCCATAACTCGGCCAAAAATCATTCAACCGGAAAACCCGTGCAATATGCGCAAGGACTTGAGCTATAGATCAATCCTGTAAAGTTTCATTGAAATTGCATTAGTGGTATAAGAGAAGTAGTCCGGACAAACTTTAAAATTAAAAATTATTAAAGGGCCATAACTCTGACAAAAATCACTGAACCGGAAAATGCTGACAATATGCACAACTAGACTTGGTACTGATCATTCCTGTAAAGTTTGGATGAAATTGCACCAGTAGTTTATGAGCAGTAGTCCGGACAAGTTTTGTGACGGACGGACGGACAGACAGACAGACAGACAGACGGACAGACAGACGACGGAGAAGTGATCCCTATATGTCGCCACTACTCCGTAGAGGCGACACAAAAAGCAAAGTACATTTAAATGATTAAAAAAGTTGACTTTCATTTGTCTGTAGCATTTCAAGCCAAAACCGCCAATACAAAAAAAGAGAAATACCATTATAATTAGATATGGCTATTCCTGTTTACTAACAACAGTAGACTTACCTCAGACATGCCTGTTAGACTCAGTGACAGTAAAAGACTAGCAATCACATAGGGAGATGGATATACATTACTTAATGGTTTATATTCACTATTCTTGTAATACTCTCCTATATAATAGATACTGAAACAAAACAAAATATAAAATACTTAAGTTTGGCTAACCAAACAATATTAACCCAAATATCAGTAAGCAATATATTTCAAATATTCAAAAACTATCATAAATATTCTACTTACAAATTGCCCTACACATTGACTTCATTAAAATTACTAAAAGTCAAGTGCCAATCAGCCTTAGTTTTTTGTTTCACATAAGAATGTTAGAAAATTGTACAAAATACAGACCCTGTCTTATAGGCGATCAGTCTTGTATGCGAGTTAATACAGAATATATGTAATTTACCGGTACCCTTAACCTACTGGACAGAAAGCCAATAGCCTTTGCTAACCAGTATAGAGCCAGGCCAGCTTGTAAATCAGTGCAGTCTGTCCAGGTCCTATACTGTTCGTAGCTCATTTTTATACTTTGAAAGTAAAATCCCTTAAATACAGAATGAATTGCTCCAAAATTGGCTGGGCAAAACCATTACACAAATTCAGCTTACTCAGGTTTAACAAAGATGAAAGACAAAAACATATTGTTTACCTGTGTAAAATTCTAGCAGTCATATTAAGGCAGTTAGCTAAAATAAAACCAACACTTCCCAGGTATGATGTGAGGACGAGGGAGGAGATCAAAAACAACACAGAAAATGCCACCATCTTTTGATTATACCTGAAATAGTGGGAAATGTTATAACGGAGCTTCATAAATCTGTAATAAAAATCCCTGGTGATATAAACATTCTTGGATTGACTATCCCCAAGAAATAATAACTGTTTTAATATTTTTCTTTTAAATATAAAAATGCACCAAACTGACTTAAGCCACAATTGAGTGCCATTTATTTTTTAAAAAAATGTGTCTGAATGTTTTAAATCATGCCTTTAATACACTCAGGCCAAGTGGATTTATTTTTAATTTCTTACATTAAAATAGAGGTTTTATGGTCTACAAAAAATCACAAAAAAGAATAATACCATAAATATTTCATATATTTTAGATGGTTCTAATTTCTTTATTGTTCATAAGTTTATCAAAGTTCAAGTATTGAAATTTAAAATAAAAATTGTTCATAGAGAACATTTTCTTCACATATTTTATTTTGAGATTTAGTTTTACAGAACTAAATATCAAATTAAAATTCAATAATGAATATCCTAAGCCACTTGGCTACCAGAGGATAATTCAAATTCTATTTCAAAGACCCTGGTTAAGTTTAATCACACTTAAAATCTCAAGATGTAATATGTAGTTAAAATTCAATATCACACACTATTTGGATTCAGAAGGGTCTTCAAAATTCTATTTAAACATCCATGGTTACAAGTAATAGTACTAAAACCCTCAATATATGATTATGTAATGGGAAAAGTTTACTTATTGACCCCATTCATTATACATACCTATCAACTTGAGATTAACTCATTGTAGCAAACACAAAACATTCAAATGTTCCATTTACAGCTATAACAAGAACATAAGGCAGTACCAGCGTAGTAACATCGGTCCTACAAAATAAAATTTAAACATTCTAATTGACTTTCTTATACATGTATAAGATATATTGTTTGGTAAGTATCAATGGGTTTATAGCAGATTAAAGGCCCATTAAGCCTGAAATATGCTATAATTTCTTTTTTTCAAAAAACAAAACAAAAAAACAAAAACAAACAAGAGGGCCATGATGGTCCTGAATCGCTCACCAGAAACAACTGTTTTTCAGTGATTATAGAAATAATTTCTCAAATAAACTTGTAGAAAGACAAGTCCAGCTCAACTTCAACTTGCCTCTCTAGTTATAAGGTTTCCTGACACTGATTGTTTTTTTTCTTTATAGTAAAAATGATAGGAACCCTTCACAATTATCACAAGTTCATTGTTACTGTTCATCTGGTAAGTTTAGCATATTGACTTGCGCTACTTGATTTTTTCCATTTTCAGCTCAAGTGGAATGAGGCAAATAAAATTAATTTGAGCAAACTTGATAAAAAACTTTAAGAAAGCTACAGACCAAGTTATAAGAAGCATGCATACCAAGTTTGAAGTCAATCCGATTTGTAATGACTAACTTATGCTCCGTACAAGCTTACGGGGACGCCAACAACGACGCCGAAAACGATGCCGACACCGCTGACAAAACTCTTATTATAACAAACATTTGTGCCAAGTTATTTAAGATTCCTTTGATAAATGACAAAGTTATGGACTGGACACGAAAGTGTGACGGACGGACAGACGGATGGACGGAGCCTATTACTATATCCCCCTTTTTTCTTCGAAGAGGTGGGGGACAAATAAACAACTTTACATACAGGGTGGAAAAGTGATACTGAATGAAATAGTGCAAAAGTACTTTGAACAAGTGATAACCCATTTTGCAAAATGTGATTCTGAATAGAAATAATTGAAACAAATACTAAAATAGCACAAAGAATAAAAAATGACAAATTACATTAAGACAAGCAAGAAAAACTGCTAAAATTGACATCAGTTCAGCAGCCCCTAAAAGAGACCAATCAATTCATATGAGGAAATTTGATAAAAGACTACCTAAGAATGCTACAGACAAAGATTGGTGATCATCCATCAATTATAGTTCTGTAGAAGGAGACATTTAACGGTTTGTCTATTTTAAGGCATTAGTGACTCATAAAAGGGGCCAATCAAATTCATATGAGCAAATTTGATAAAACACTTCCCTAGAATGCTACAAAGTTAAGTGATCATCAATAATTGAGTTCAGTAGGAGAAGCTGTTAAAAGGTTTTTCTATTTTTAGCTCACGAGGCCCCTAAAAGGGGCCAATCAATTTAATTTGCAGACCATCTAAGAATGCTACAGACAAAATTTGATGATCATCCATGAATTAGTTCAGTACAAAAAAAATGTTTTAAATGTTTTTCTATTTTTATCTATAGCGGCCCCTTAAAGAGGCCAATCAACTTAATTTGAGCAAACTGGATAAAAAGCTACATAAGAATGCTACAGACAAAGTTTGGTGATCATCCACCCATTAGTTCAGTAGAAGAAGATGATTAAAGTTTTTTATCCCAAGCTGAAAGGCAGTGGGGGATATAGTAATAGTCTCGGTCCGTCCGTCCATCCTTCCGTCCCACATTGTCCGGAGCATATCTGAAAAAGTATTTGAGGTATCAACTTGAAACTACATAGGTGGATAGATCATATTGAGGAAGAGTGCAGTGCACAAGTATGATAATTCTACCCTGCATAATTTTTCGGTTATTGCCCTTTGTTATTTTTTCGAACTTAATTTTTGTCCACAGCATAACTCAACAAGAGGGCCCAGAGGACCCTGGATCGCTCAGAAATAAGTCAAAAGGTCTTTACACCCAAGAAGCACAATTTGAAAACAATGGACAGCTTCATCTGAACAATATTTGTACACTGTCTCAAAAGAAATTTTTGTGTAAAATTATTTCAAAATTGAAACAGTGATTTAGATGTTGTTTAGATGAACATGCTTTATGCCAAATATCTAAGCTCCACCTCTTTTGGATTTTCACATTTTTTTTAAAGTTTTTACTTTATACATATATGTAAAAACAATGACCCCTGGGACAAGACCAATTTTGACTCAAGGGCTTTCATTTGAACAAACATCTAGTTATCTACTAGAATATATTTTATGCCAAATATCTAAGCTCTGACTTTTTTTGGATTTTTACAAGAAGATTTTTTTAAAATTTTACTATATACATGTTTATATAAGGAAAATCAAAGACCCCCCTGGGGCGGGGCCAATTTTGACGCTAAAGCTATTATTTGAACAAACTTGGTAGACATATACTATAAGATGTTTCATGCCAAATATCTAAGCTCTAGCCCCTTTGGATTGTCACAAGAAGATTTTATATTACGTTTTTACTATAAACATATTAATAAAAAGAATAAGGAAAGTGAAACACACGAAACAAAGTGGGTCAGGTTTCTATAATTTTATTTAAGACCTTCGTTTCGGCTATTCAATAGCCTTCATCAGGGTACAGATATATCAGAATTTTTCAACTAAGGTACAGTTTTGATGGTTCTTTTTGTCACGTGATCAAATCTATTTATAGAAGTTATTGTTAGGTGGTTCATTATACATATTAGGAAAATCAATGAGCCCTTGGGCGGAGCAAATTTTGACCTTATAAGGTTCTTATTTGAACAAACTTGGTAGACATGCATTAGAAGATGTTTTATGCAAAATATCTAAGCACTAGTGTTTTGCAAGATTTTTTTATGATTTTTGGTAAATAATCTTTAGGTTGCCATGGCAACCAGAGTTCTTTATTGAATTTAATTTTTTCAACAAAATTGAAGGAACACACCTGCATAGTTTTAACAAATTTGGCCTAGTGGTTTATAAGAAGAGGTTGTCAAAAGAAACTGTTGACGCACGGAGGGACGATGGGCTATCAAAAATGCTCACATTGAGGACATTGCCTCAGGCGAGCTAATAATCACAGTCAACTATGTCTAGGTAAGTAGCTTTAAAGCTGAGAATCTATATTTTGAGTTTTGAGAGTGGTTTAAAGCAAGCGATTATTTTTTATATATAGTTTGCGAGCAGAATTTAGCAGATTCAAACTTATGAGCTTTAACAGTAACATTGAAATCATCAATAACATGTTATGCACGTGAAAATCATCTTAATGAGATACCCATATATCATAAATAATAATTATCTTTCAATGGAAGTTAAAATCCCTTATGGGGGGTCTACTCTGAAACTGCTATAAATGCTATAAAACAGATTTACAACTCTTTTTATTTATATATATCATTTATGATGCTTATACATATGAGCCATGTCATGACAAAACCTACATAATGGGTTTGCGACCAGCATGGATCCAGACCAGCGCATCCGCGCAGCGCAGTCTGATCAGGATCCATGCTGTTCGCTTACAAACTCTATAACAAGTAGAGAAACTGATAGCAAACAGCATGGATCCCTATCAGACTGCGCGGGCGCAAACCCATTATGTTGGTTTTGTCATGACACGGCTCATATATATATCAATTGAAACACTGTGGACATGTATAAACTTAGGTAGATGTAATGGTTTAAAATTTGTGATTTAAATATCAAATTTATCTTTCCTAAATGATTAAAATACTTTTAAAGACAAAATCAAAATATGATATAATTTCAAACACCATGCACTTGTATCCGTTAAATAAAAACCTGATATCTGTAATATTAAAACAGTTTAGTTTAAAATGTGTACAATTTTAAAAATCAATTTTAGTATACAAGGAAGTAAATATCGGTATTGAATTCCATGAATCCATAAATCCAATAGTAACGGTAAATATTTACGTTTAACCTTTAGAAAAAGTTTAGATCATTACAGTGGATGATTTAAAACCTGTGACACAGTATTGAGCATAACTTAAGGTAGGGTGATTTGATTTTTGTTTCTCTATAAATTTACATTATGCATATATTGTCTTTTGAAAGCATTATGGTAAAAATACTGTTGACAAATTTAGGTTTATAAATTTCAACACATAATTGAAAAGGATTTTTTTAACAATGTTCAATACATAAAAACATATAAATAACAGTTTTAAACATCAATGATGATTGCACACAAAAAAAATATTTTTAATCCATAATTTTTGGTTGTGTGCTGTCTGTCTGTCTGTATGTATGTATGTCTGTCTGTCTGCACACATCATTTACATTGAACACAACTTGTTTTATGTATAGTTTGATTTTATTAACCTGTCAATTACATACTGATTACACGGTCGATGCACACAATTTATTAATCTTCGGTCGATGCACACAATTTATTAATCTTCGGTAGATTTCGGTAAGTTTTGTGAGATGTACGCTGTACGATGGAATTTAATTTAATGTGTATATCTGAACTAAGTGTACTGAGCGTTATAGCCCAATAGGGTAAAGTACCAGTTTATAATCTAAGTGCCATACATGAGACCGGGTTGGTCCATGTTTTTTTCTCTTATTAATACTTTCAACATTATTATTGAAGCTATATATGATTATTTTTTTGGGTTGTCCATTTTGTTTTATTATGTTTTACTTAATTTGGCAAAGTCTATAACTCTTTTTAAATAACATGTTTTAAAACGGATTAAAATCAATAATTGTCATTTCAATGCCTTAAAACACACTACAAATCGGTTCAATTAAAATACATGTGTATACTGCAAAAATAAAGAAAGAATGTCATCAGTAAGGATCGAACCACAGACCTCTCAATTATCAGGCATTCTCTTAACTGACTGTGCTATTGTGAATTAACGTAAATCTTCACATTTAGCTGGCATGACTTTCAAAACATGACTTATATATTCAACATTTAATTCTCGTAAACTACACGGAACAAACCGAAATGGGATCGAATATTTGAATGAGTGCTAAAATGTATTCATAATTGACAGGTCAATAAAATCAGACTTATCATATTGATTTGCCTATAAAATATTGTTTGTTTTCCCTCCCACTACCTAACCAGAATTAGAACTTC